AAGGGCACGACCAAATGCAACAACAGCAGCCTACGCTAGCTTCCCCGATGCCGACATTTACCTTCCCAGGAGGTAGTAATCATAGTAGTAGGATAATCCATGTGATGATTATGTCTTTGATCAGCCACGGGTATTCCTCGGTCACAAGTCGGAGGTCGATTGAATGACCTTAGTAGCAGTAATGCTAATACAAATATGAGTTGCTATGGTCGAAGAAAGAGCTATGGCGCACCCCCTGGTGTTTGGAGGAATCCTTATGGTTATGTAAGTACTGTATATGTAAATAAGAAAAGAGTTTATGGCCCGTTGAGGAAAACTATAGAGGATGCGTCACGAGATCGTGAGGCTATGGTCCAAGCCAAGGAGTATGTAACAAGTGTTGAAGAGATGAGAGCTTTCGTGCGTGAGTTCCTTAAACCAAATCCGCATGGTGGTGTTGCAGAATCAGCAGTCCTTCCTAACCTACCGGCTTTGGAAGAAGAAATGTTGGTTACTCTTTAACTCCTTTCCTTAAACGTTTCTCATCATCCCTATATCGCAGTACCTCCTAAATTTCCTAGTTCAACAATTACTTAATAGTACTATCTGGTGTACTATTGGTTTCTACCTGGCCATATACTGCCAACCTGTCAACGCTTACTTTTTCGCATGTGCCTCAAATAGTTGTGTTGTAATCAATTTCAGTGTTATTCTTGTACGTCTATCTGTTTTTCCTGAGTGCTTCGAGCTTGCCTTAGAATGCTTTGTTAGGATGTGATAGGCATGTGTTTAACAGTCGATGAGTCATCGTGGGCTGTGACTTTGCATAATCCCAGTTTACAGCGGGGTCACGTGTACTACGCGCTGTATGGACCTACCATCTCGATACACAAAAGTAGAGAAGCCTTTAGTCAATAGCACTGGAACATCGTTCCAAAGGAAGGTACAAGTAGCGCGAATTTCCTACAAAGTCCATATCGAAGCCATTGAAGATAAAGCTACGACGAGGTGGCTGGCATGTCGCATAGCTTGCTGCATGGGCGCTACAGCGTAGGCCGGACGCTAGCCTCCACAGTCTGCATCGTCACGTACCGGTTTGATGAATCAGGGTTTATATGTTGACAAGTGAGCTCGGAAGTGATTGAAATTATTCAGAGGCACATACCTTACACGATCTGAAACATAACTTGAGAGCTTTTAACCCATCATCAGTGAGTATGACAAGACATTTATTAGTCTTCGTCGCCTACAACACTCAGAGAAGGCTATAGCAGTAGGGTGATGTTCCTAGTGTGGAACTGGAGAGCTCACCTGAGCATGTGCTAGCAATGATGTTGAGCAATGTATGATCGTTACTCTGATAAGGCCGCGCCGGGCATGCTCGTTAATAGCAACGCTTCGACATCATACATCAACTCTTTGAAATTGTGACATTGACAGTGTCGATATCATACAATGTGCCGCGAAAACTTGCTGAATCCAGAGTGGTATTATTGACTATAGGGAACAAACAAAACGACTTCTCGGAATCTTTTATCGATATATCCCCAAGTGAATTTCTCAGGAGAGACAGAAACACACACTTGGAACATTAATACAACCGAACGGTCATACCACATCATACGATGACTAAGGAAGAGATAATCCTCAAGCTAGCTAGTAAAATGCAATGGTGAGTCCGTAGACTTCTAAGCATAGAACAATTGAAAAAATATGAGTTTGATACTCAATGCTTGTTGCTCTATTTTAGTATGAATACACAAGGTTGTACATTTGCACAGGAGATTGATGCAAATATCAAACAGGATTCCGGAAGCACGCTAAATGACATCCACCGAATATTGAACAACGATAAGTGACAGGCTGGACAAAAACACGTGCTTCAGGGAATATTTTGAATAGAGTGTGAGAAAGCTCTTCCTGCAGACACTACAAGCACTACTTCTTGGGACTGCGGAATTAAGCCAAAAATATATTCGATTTAACAATGTCATGCCGACATTGATGGTGATGATGCATCATTCACTGTATCATGATGTGAGCTGCTGTGAGATGTCTGCTTGAGCCGTCTACCTATTTCGACACGACATAGGGGGCATCGGTGATACAACGTGCCGTTTCGAGGGAATGAATCGAACAGTAACCGAATACAATCAGTGTGGTATTCATGCCCACATGGTAGCTTAACGATCTCATCATCAATTGTATAATCAATAAGGCATATTGCACAAGGCTCCTCATCACCAGTAAGGTCTGAACCATGGAGATCTTCACAGTCTTCCTTCAACCACTCATCCCATTCACGATGCAGAGCAGCGATCTCGTTGCGGTCAACCTTAGGTGGAGAAGTCCTCTGATTCAACACCTCTAACCGTTGGCGCTCTTCTCTCTTCGCAACATTGTGAGCATACTGCATAATCAATAGTGGAGGCACAACACCACATATGATGATATAAACTAAGATTAGATACCCTTGCCCAGATACCGACATAAGGATGCCGACAGCGGCGCAAGGACAAGCTACAAGCCAACCCAACCATAGTCCCAGATATCGGCGTTGGAAGGCTGGATGGATTCTGGAGAGCCGTAGGGACATAATCAATGGAGAAGTATGGAACTTTCAGAATTGAGTGTCACTGTTGAGAACGCAATAACAAGGGAACACAGTAGTGATGACCAAAGGGGTGGTTATCACTAACCATTACGCGAAGTTACTATAAAGCGGCTCAACCAAGGGGAGCCTTGTATTCTCCGATTATCGTCAATGTGTTATTGCGGAGAGAGAGAGGTAGAACAACAACAACTACAACAACTAAAGCACTGGAATGAAGCAGAGGCAAAGTCTCGAGATGATACTACGAGATGGATGTTGAGAACAACAGTCTAAGCAAAGCTGGAGGAACTGCTAGCGGCACCGAGGCTCAATGAGAAGGGGGGCATGGGCTCATATAAATTAGTTTATCACCATCGACTCGGCATCAGGGCAACCGTCACTTTGGAGATTCTTCACGTCTGCGAGGAATGGACATCAACCTCAAGAGAAGAAGGGTATTGATGATGATGAAATGAAGGTTGATGATGAAGGAAATGACTGTACTGATGTACTACTCACTCATCGTAGACATGGGCTATGCTGAATCAGCATAATCCTGCAGAAATATTTACTGGTGATGATACCAGATAGAGGGATGGTGGGACAGAAAACACTAAGTAGCAGCAAAAGCAGTCCAGTAATAACAAGCAATATAATGAATAAAATAGAATTAGCCATAGAAGTTCAGTGGGAATCGACTAAAGAATAGATACACCAAATACTATGCCCAGCTAATGGTGATAGTTGATGCCATCATCACAGTACCGAGACGAGTCTCCCTCTCGCCAAGACCGCTACACAACTCGTCTTACTCCTCTCACGTCCATCGACACCACGACCATCATCTACAATACGACATGGGTTTCCATTCACATAAGCCTCCGGACCATATGCTGTGTTGGAGTGGTTACTCGGAGTGCCGTCGTCGTCGGCGAATTGGCCCGTTACGACCACGGGCCGGCTACCACGTGTACGAGGTGGAGGGTTAGCTGCGGCAAGAGTAGAATGAAGTTGGTCAGCAATACCCAGTTCCACACGACAAATTGGACATCTGAATATCTTACCATCTTCGGGTCTACTCTCTTTGAGCATTATATCAAGGCATTGTACATGATAAGCATGAGTACATGGCAGGACCCATACCTTATCCCCTGTTGTAAAGTCACCAAGACATATGGGACAGACCCTGCCAGTCAGCGTAGGTTCCGAACCATCAATCTTACAGCAACTACGTCTAAGCCATTGACGACATCGGCGTCTGATACCAGCCTCATCAGTGCCATCAAGATGTGCTTGCATCATAGCCTCATAGGCCGCCTCCTCTCTCTGCTCGGTCTTGTAGCAATATCGTATAATCATAAAGGGTGGTATGACAGCAGCTACAGCGCAGTAAGTGAAGAAGATGTAGTCAAACTGCACCATTATGATGAGTACAGCTGCAATGACGACGTATATTATCAAATAAAGTAACCATATGAAACGAAATCGTTTAGAGAAGGCCGGGGCGTATGTATCCCTTCGAAACAGTGCCTTGAGATTGTCCATCAGAAATGAGAACCATAAACTGAAAAAAGAAAATGCACCTCGCATATTGGGAACCTGACAGTGGCAACCTCTCGAGCAGCAACACAAATTGTGGTGGGATAAGGCTTAGATAAAGTGATGGTGGATAACCCACGGTAGATATAGTCGAACACGATTCAACAAATATGGTCCGGTGATCGGACTCTGGTGATGAGAGTAGCGATGCTCGAGGGAGCAGCATCACTACGATGAGTATAAGAAAAGCAAACCGTGGAGAGAATGAGATAAATCATTAAGGAACAGTGAACGAGTACGACGACGACGACGACTCCATCACTTGAGGAACAGTGAACGAGTACGACGACGACGACTCCATCACTTGAGGAACAGTGAACGAGTACGACGACGACGACGACTCCATCACTTGAGGAACAGTGAACGAGTACGACGACGACGACGACTCCATCACTTGAGGAACAGTGAACGAGTACGACGACGACGACGACTCCATCACTTGAGGAACAGTGAACGAGTACGACGACGACGACTCCATCACCTATACAGTAGAATCAGTGTTGGATCATTATCATCATCATCCAACAATGACAACGATTCCTATGCTCATAACTGTACAGCCTGTTCAGCATCAGTAGCAGCTACAGCAGGCTCAGAAAAGATGAATTGCGCAAAGACTCCTCTTAGGAAGCCCATCCGCTTAGAAGACGATGAAGACAGGAAGTGATGATCATTCGATAGAGAGAACAGCAGGGCACTAAAAACGACGACGACAAGAAGAAGAGCGATCGTCCCAAAGAAGGATACTCTATCAGCCATCCCTCCAATCTTACATAATATACAGGGACATATATGCAATACAGTCAATGCAATAAAGACCAGTGCTTGTTTACACCACTTCTTGTAACGTTTGAATAGCACTGTTTCCAGCAGCAGCAGCAGCAGCATTATCGACGACAGCAGTTTTGGCTGGCTCAGGCATGAGGACTTCATCACCAAGGCGTGCACGACAGAGGGGGCATCTAGGAGCATTGCCATCATAGGACATGGGAGAATCCAATAACATCTTAATGCATTGTAAGTGATATACATGGTGACATGGTAATAGGATGAGGACGTCGCTAGGATGATAATCCGATAAGCAGATAGCGCACTCATCTTTACAGTAACATATACATCTTGGATCATCTCCCATCATCCTTTCACAATTGTTCTTTAACCACTCCTCAGTAGCAAGCTTATCATTAGCCAACTCTAGTGCGCGATCACGACTCTGTCTATTCCTCTCAGCCGCTTGCTTCCTCTTTATGGTGAATATACGCTTGTTTATAGCAATTGGAGGGAGCACTCCGAAGAAGGCAAGGTATGCTATTAATATAGACCACTTTTCACCCGAGATACCAATGAATACACCCAAGCTGATATACATAATGAGCCAGGCATACCACATTGCTCTGAACTCAGGCGCCCAGACACCAGTGTGGAAAATATCTTTGAAAAGTGAAGGGTGCTGATGCTGATGACGACGGCGGCGCTGATGGTCTGCATGGTCAGCCTGTGAAGCGACACTCACTAACTCGTCGATACTGGACGCTGAGGGGGGCATATAAAATGTAGAACCTCCAATACAGAACTAAGCAATAATGGCAAGGCATGCACTACTAACACAACATAACGTGAGTAGAAGCAGATAAGGTGGCAGAGTGAGGCGGTAATATGATCAGAGTGCTACACCCACAGCCATAATACCACTACCAGAATGGCCTGTAGGGTATCATACAAGCGCTAGGCGGTAGCAGCTTTCGCTGCATTATTCTCAACAGCAAGCCTGGTAAAACATCACTAAGGCAGTGAGGACGTGTATATACATATTAGTACGGACGAAGCCGCCCCTCTTGTTGGAGTCCTTGTGATGCATCAATAAGGAAAACATAAGTGCTGCCATGGTGGGGCGAGTGAGGGTGATATACAACAATCTGCGAGGCAAGTCCACTCAGTCTAAGAGAAATTATAAGAAAAATCTAGTAGATAAGAATACTCCGGAACAAGCCATCTCAAGAAGACGTACTGGCAGCCACAGTATGAGCGGCTGCCTCCCCTTGCTGGCCATTAGAATGCCCTTCATCCTTTACCCTCTTCATCAACAGTAGGCCCCAATACTGCCCGACATAATGGACATATATGATGTTGCCTATATCCTCTAGGACGACAGGTGAAGCAGTTACGAAAGCAGCAATCATGGAAGGTGTGGCCACATGGTAGGCGTCTGAGAACATCCCCGACTTGGTATTCTGACAGACATATAGCACATGGCTCGTCGGTATGAGCTGAGGTATGATCATCAATAGTAGCAGTAGTGGTGTTCTCTTGCAGCCAATGATCCCAGGCCTTAGAAAAACTCTGCGGAGTGATGATGTTCCCCATAGCCATCGAGTGAATCGATCCACCACTGCCATTCTCCATATCGATAATGGTATTATCCCTATGACCCTGTTGAGACGTAGGATATAAGGAGTGCTTAACCATCCCACTAGCCAGGAACAGCAGGACTACTATTGGTACAGCAATGAGGGTGGACATGAGGACTATCATCAACGTTGAATTGGCTCCTTCCGAGTCTGGTAGTTCGAATATCCAAACTATATAGGCTACCACCAGCAGCACCAAGGTAACCGAGACGATCATCAACTGCTTGGTTGATGATATCAGGGTTGCTAGAGAAGTCATAGAGACAAATAGATCTGCGAAGAAGTGTTCTATGGAATAACACTAAGCTCTTACTACCACTTCGAAACTCTTGTGGAATTTTCAATAATCATTATAATAACACATCAGGAGAACATCATCATCATCCCTTCTGTAATAGCATTAGTAACTCCATCACTTTACTACCCTTGTTGTTCTCAACACTGCCATCTTGGACTACTGGGTTGTTGCTACTACTACCAACCTCCTCTTGCCCTATCTCTGCCCTACTCTGCTGCTCCCCTTCATCTGGGTGCTCTACTGTTGTTGTAGATGGATGAGGGTGGAGGGAGGCGACCTCAGTCATGACAGAGGCTGTATCCCCCTCAGTATCGCTCATCTCAGAGTAATTCCCTTCATCATCATCATCCTCCATGATAGGCCCTTCAAGCTCCTGACCATCACAACACTACCTAAAGTGTCGTCTACCCCACTAGTAGTACATCATTAGAAGATGCAATCACTGGAGGTGGTGCCGGATCAGGGAGTATGATACGTTGTAGTACTGCCCTTGGGAACTTATCTAGCCACTCCGGGGTATCATACTCTTCACGATTGGCACACAGCATATCTATTGCTTTCGATACCGCATCAAAGCATACAACCAATGACTGCGGTAGGCGAGCCTGATAATGATGATGACGATGATGCACAGAGAAGGGCGCTACTGCTGAGGCGGCTCACCGTCACACAGAGAGTCTCGACCCTCCCAACGAGAGTATCATTACTATAATCCCGTCCTCGCCGTAGTGTCTCCACAGCACACTGGAATAAGGTCTCACACACTGAGTTGGCTAGGTTCTGAGGAGGGCAAACGAATAGCCTAAGGCTCTGTATCACCCTACTACTACTACCTGACGTGTTAGCCTCAGTGCTGTTGTTGTTGTTGCTGATGATGATGGTAATAAGTTGTCTATCGACAAGCCCAATACTATCAGTAATGGTACCGCTATTGAGCGCTCAGTAGGGAGTTCCTGTAGCACGTCCATCACAGCTGACAGCCAGATGCACTACTACTACCTCGTATATAAGGTCATGCACTGGTATAAAGCCATCAAGTATAGTAGGCTTCTCCTTGCCACCACCACCTTGGGGTGGTGGAGTTATAGGAGGCGGTAGATGTGGATCCCACTCACGATAACTAGTGGGTATGAGCCTATCCCTGCTGTCCACTAACGACTTCACCTACATAAGCATATCAGTATCGTCATCAAGGACCGGATCAACTCACTAAAACGTCCTCATCGATGGTGACAGTGTCTCCCTCCTTCTGCTGCTGCAGCTCTGACGGTGGTGCCTGCATTGGTTCGCCGACACCTCCCAGTAAGCAATCGATGATAAGGGTTAATCGAAAGTAGGCCTAATGATAAGAGTGGTACACACTGGAGCTAGCTAAGGAATACCTGTTCCTCGGTGGTCATGAACTGGCCAACAATGATGGCCAACCAGCCAAGGAAGTGCCAACGGAGTACTCGTTGTTGTGGTGGTATCATACTGTTACGACTAACCTCGGTATCGAGATTATGTAAATCTCCACAAAGTACTGCTCGAGTGGTATGGATAACGTGATGACCCAGTAGTAGACCCTCTGCCTACACAAAAGGAGGAGTCTACACTACGAGGGTCTAGCGGCAGTAGAGTCACTTTGAACGACTTCTCGAAGTACTGGTCTTGCATCTGCTTCTGGCTACCAGCAAGAAAGGCAGAGAATAGAGCTGAGAGCTCCTCCTCCTCAGTAGGTGATATAAGATGCCGATGCAGCCAACATGGTGTACTCAGACTACATACCTACGAATAGTAATGGGAAAATATGACTACATGTGTTAGTGATGACAATACGAAAATTTTGGGGAATTCTCATCGATTTCTGCACAGCTCTACCAGAATTCGCCTATGAACTACTATGATCAGTGGGGAAACTCGTGAGCTCAGTTGAGGAAAGCGAACATATATCCCAACAGAGCCTGCGGGTCGCACTAACCTCAACAATAAGGGTTCTAATGCTCACTTTAGCGAGGCGTTTGCCAGTAGTATCTCCTACAGTAAGCATACGCCAAATATCGGATACACCTCGGCACTTAGATATGGGTAGTAGAACCCGTATGAGATCTCTCCCTATTGCTGCTATCCACGGCCGACATTTATCCCAATACTTAGTGATAAGGGTCTCGCATTGTGTGGCTAGGTCCTCAGTAGGCACAGTAGATGTGTCCTTACACTGTATATAGCATGGTAATAACGTAGCGACTTTAAAGAACGTGGCTTGACACAATTTAATCTCCTTCTTAGAGATGAACATATCAGTATTAGTAAGCAGGAATGATAACAATGACTGTGTCAAATGGACAATACCAGCACTGAAGTCACCTGAATACAGTGAGTGCCCTAATGACGTCACTATGACCCCATACAGTGGTACCTGGGCGTATACACCGCTCTAGTAGTAATATAACAGAGTTAATTATCCAATCGCCCCTATGGATGAAGTCCTCGGTTAGCTTAAGGACTCTAGCACACCTATGTGGGTCCATGCTAGTACTTGCTATGGACTGAGTAGCTATATCACACTGACAGTACATGGGCTTAGAGCAATAGTAAAGTGGTGGTGTTATTATTACTAATGCTGCTGCTACTGCAGTCTTATCATGGTCATGACGACATATAGTATTAAGCCAAGCAATATAGCGTTTGTCGGTGCATCTACTACCGAAATCAGATGCCTTCACTATCTGGACACACTGATGTAACCGAGTCTCTCTAACGTTACCAACAGCCTCCGATATCGTACCTAGGCGATATTGAAGCCACGTGGGAACAGCACTAGGGATACCTGGACGTAGATGGAGTAATAAGCTGCTAGTATCCTGGAGTGAGCTGGCAAATGTGCCATGGACTCCTCCTACTGATACCGACACTGATGACATACCCACGAACTGACAAGAGGGACATCATTAACCCTTTTACTAGATAACACAACCTCGTAGATAGTACTATGCAGTAGACCATGCGAAACCATATTATCATTACTAGGATGATGCGCAGTAATATAAATATGGCTCAGATAGGTATTGATTATTAATATAATGATAAAGTCATTATCGGATAAATGGTCATAATGCAGTTCAGTTCCGCCATCTTGGACGGTCAGCGAAACATTGACTGAGCCACAAGATATAGCCCTCTTTGGGAGCCTCTTAGTACTACTACCTTCCTTTAACAGATGATGTTGGTGTAGTCACACTAGTAGCATATCCCTCCTTACGCCTAGTTAGGCCTCCTTTAGTGACTACTCCACCACTGCTACTAGGGGCCATCACGACGACACATCGATGCGCTGACTCCTCATGAGGACGATGGTCAGACATGGAACGAGTAGAGCCACGTCTAGCGCTATCCGGCGGTGGGTCTACTAGACGCCGCCTACTATACCCTGTAGTCGTGGCACCCGTAGTGAAGCTGAGCCCTGAGGGTGAATATGGCTACTATCATCAAAGCATATTGATGATACCTACTATCTAGTGGTAATCTATTAACATGAGCTCTAGGATGGGACTTAGGATGGCCTGCTATTTTAACATTGGCGCGAGGTGGAGTCGATGCTGGAGTAGAGGACCTACTGCTAGTCGGCTTAACGACTTCCAGAAGGGTAGATAAAACTACTTCCTAGTAGGGGAGTTGCTCCTTGGTGTCCTTAAAGGGCAAGTGGTCCTGTCTATACTACTAACTCTCCTCCTCCTGTTAGCCATAACTGCTGTCCTATTCACTGATGGTGCCTCTGATACCACATCTAGTGGGCTCATACCCTCGGCAGCAGCAGTATTACTACGTATCTAATGAGATGGGCTACCCTTTGTTGTATGTAATTGCCATACTACCAATGCATCGATGTTAGACACAACATTAACTAGATTAACTCCATCAGGATGCTGCCCTGCTATGGCCGCATCGACTGCTAGACAGGATGCTGGCCACAATAAGGACCACTCATCACCTACCTTCCCTCACAGGGGTCTCCATCTGTAGTGGACTCAGTTCTTCCTCCTCCTCGGGCTCTTGCTGCTGTTGCTGCATAGTGTCACCAGGGGTTAGCCGTGTAACCGACTCAGGAGAGTCCGCTCCTGTCAAGCACATCATCATGAACATTACTACTATTGCTATTACTACCGGGGGTCATCCAACTCTGTTCTTCCTCATAAGAATCATATCTCACAGTAACAGGAGTGGACATTATTCCTGCTGATGCCCGCCATGGTGAAGCGAGATCCCCCACAGCTTCAGCGACACCACCCGAAGAATCGTCACTGCATCTAGTCCCTCTATGGGGTGTGCTACTACTATCTACACTCTCTTCGTCAACTACAGTATCATATACTTCCTAGAGAACAGCAGGAGGCAACACTTCGTAAGGACTGCTTTGATCATTCTACCTGCACAGCCTTCCTAGCTGGAGTGAAGGATGGGAGCAAGAGATGGGTCATAGGTTGGGTATCCGAAGCGGTACCACCAGTGGTCTGATGACAAATACTACTACTACTACAAGGGGAGCAGCACTACCCTACCTGATGAGTAGCTGCTGAATGTTGTCTATGCACCACTACTGAATGGGTCTCTAACCCTTCATCATCATCATTAACAACTGGACCACAGCACACTGCTGTGCTTACATTAGACGGTGGACAGGTCGAGGCTGTTGAGGTTCCATTCAAGTCGACTGCTATCACTGCTCTACTACTACCTTCCCTTTCCTCTCTAGGGGACATCAACTTGCCATCCAAAGTAGATGCCGGTGGCTTCTGATGTGCATCGTGAGAGGGAGCCAACTTGAGATCCAATGCTCGACTGGCCATAGAACGAGCACTGGACATAGCACTCTGGCTATCCGCCAACTGCAAGGGGAGGAGATCACAGGTGAGGATAGGGTTGGGTACAGTACTCGATCAAGCAGAGCCAACTCCCTCTTGGCTTGCTCCTCAGAGAACCTCGTAAACTCATCCCGACTAGAGGCCAACTGGACAGCACTATACACGGATAGCGAGGGTAGTAACGCCACTCACCGTCGCTAAGGAGTCAGCCAGAGCTGAGGCATTCTCCTCCTTATCGTGTATTGCTTTCTCCAGTTGCTCCATTAGAGCCTCCTTGTCCTCAGTCAATGCTCTACAAGTCTCCATTGCCTCCTTGAGGACAGTAGTAGCCTTCTTTGCCTGCACCAACCAACAATCACCACCAATAGATGACCATCATAATACCCTTTCGTTGGCCTCTACAGAGTACACCTGAAGCCTAGCATCAGCCCTAGATGAGAGGATCTCCACCAATGCCAGTACGACCAATGCCACACCAACGACATAGTAGTAGAGGCCATTCTCCTCCTCTACCACCACATGAGCATCATCGACAGGCATACTGCGTTGGGTAGCAGCAGCAGCAGCCTGTAAGGTTCGGACCTCCTCCTCGAGCCCAAGTATATGCCTCTCCAACTGCTCTACTCTACTACTCTCCTGTGCAAGGTCCTGTATGCGCTCATCCCTCTGGACGATATCAGCCTCCATCTTGGCTAGGGTCCTCCTATCCTCAGCGGAGTGCTCCTTAAATGCCTTAAGAGCATCGTAGGCCCGCTTTAACTCGTCTTGCAACTCCTTCTTTTCCTCTTGCCACACCTTATCAAATACCATTTCTTTCTCTACTCGCCTAGAATAATCAGTTATAGTTGACGTCAGTGTTGGGCCCACAGTTGCAGTAACAGCATCAACAGGTGCTGTATAGTATACATATAAGCCAATAAAGGATATGATTACAACTGCAATAGCTACTAGATAATTAGCTTGGGTAGATGTAAGGCCAGTGGTGCCTCTCGAGAGGTACCGATCATGCATAGAATCTACATAGTGAGTTGCCGAGAGGTATCTTTCATCGAGTACTACTATTACCTCTATTGCTACTGTAGTGTTCACCGCCTCGTCGTGGTGTCCGAATAGGCATACGTTGTGAAGATACATAATAACTCTGATTAGAGCCTACCACTAGACTGACCACAGCAGTGGCATGATGATATTACTACCATCGGACTGGGATGAGAGCATAGCTGGTGTTGGTGCTACTTCCCTGCCGCTCACTGTACCTATTATCCTTGAGGAGTATCGACGACGAGGAGGAGGGGGAGTGGATACCATGACAACGTGAGTCTATTAAGTAGCTACGCGAATAACAGGAAAGGCTGCTATGTACCGTTGGGAAATCTCAAGTGAGCAAGATCAGCCACAACGCCCTTCGGGCAGCACAAAATTCCATGTCTAGTATTGCTCATCAACTTTGCAGTTGCACTGGTATTATATGAAGTACCTCAGCTACACTCTGCTCCTCCTCCAGGCTCTGCTCCTCCCTGTCCATGTTGCTTCTAGGAGTATTCTTGAGGTGAGTCCCTACACGACAATCCTACTGTACATGTGATAGTGGCACTAATACTAGAAAAACTAACTGCGTAGACCTTCATCTCCACAATATGATCATCTATATATTCAATATGTGATTGCTGATCTCTACACACAAAACCTCGGGGGGTGTGGTCTGTCGTATCCTCCAGTTTCAACGGTTCACGACGAATCTCGGTGAATCCTTATTGTGTAGTAGTAGTAGGAATTATAGTAGCTGGCGCCGACCTAAATACACTGCTTTGTTATCTTTAGAGGAAGAGCCGTTTGTCTTCGGATCCTCACAGGGTACTATGGTTGCAGTAATGGTTATTTTATGAAGTGATATTGTTCTTAGGAGATCGCATGTGACATCAGCGAGTCTAAGATCGGGACTCAGCTAATCTTACACGACAAGGGCGTCCATGACAGTTCTATCTTTTACAAGGCTAAGGGTTATCAGCGAGGAAGCGAGTGCGTTATCGGTGGATCTTGATTACCTCGCCATACTGCATGTTGCAATGCAATGGTTGCGACTACCCATGGTGATAGGCGTTTGTTTAGGCACACTCTCCTGAGAAGTGTGATGCTCACTAAGGACGTGGCTGATTTGCTGAAAGAAGCGAACGAGAAGAAAATATGTTCGACGCTATTGGGTCATTTCCACCTAGGACTGCACGAACTCAACATAGAAATGGCGGATGCCAAGGCTTCTGGGAGAGTAAATGATTATAGTATCGGAGTTCGCCACAGTGTTGTTCGTTTGATAGGCTTTTGGATGCCCACTACCTGGGAAATCTGATGAGATAACCTGTGTTGTTCACTATGCTGAGGATTCCAGTGGTAGACTCCTCACCTACGCCGAGAAATTATTCCTCAAAGAGCCCAAGCATGCACTCGATGCCGCAAAGACCTCCACGTACGTCATTCATCTATCATGCATATGCGCATAATCATGTTAAGGTTCACTGTCGAACTCGAGGACGAATTCCATGCGGGCTACCCCGAGGGCTGTACCTCATTGGGTGCAGCGTCCATCCGTCGCTGCAGGGATCTAGGGGTGGCTTATGCTTACGATTTGGTTGATCAGAGATACGAAATGCACAAGTTGTAGTTGCACGCTCATGGGAGCAGTTGATCGTGTGTATGGAGTCATTCTTGCTGTTGATGTGATAAGGCATGCTTAAAGTGATGTTGTTGTTGTCAAAATGTTTTGTGTGGAAGTTATGGGTTGATGTGTTGAAGTCGAAGATGCACGTGAGAGTAGAGAGATAGAACTCGCCATTTGAGAGTCTATTGGTAGGTCTACGCTAACTGTGAGTTGTTACCACAGTTTGCGTCTGGTGATGGCAGTAGCGGTAACACCCA